AATAAGACCAATAGAGAAGATGAAAAAACGGAAAAGGAGAACGGAGAAGAAAGAGAATGGATGAAGAGGAAGAAGACGAAGGATAATAAAGAGAAGAATGGATGAAGAAGAATATTGATACATAGAAGAAGAAAAAGAAGGAGAGAGAGGAAGAACAACGAAGGAGAAGAATGAGAAGAAAAGATGAAAAAGAAGAAGAAGAAGGGATGGAGGAGAAGACGAAGGAGTAACCAAGAGTCATTAGCTCGACTGGTAAATGATCTAGGCAAAGTTTATAAATCACATGATCGAGTGACTCTTGGTATTAAACTAATATTACATGATGTGGTTTCGGACCTGCAGAGATTGCAGGCTTCGGCCCAGAACTTCATGGTAATCTAAAAAAAGAAAGAAGGAGAAAAACGGAGAAAAAGAAAGGAAAAAAAGAAAAATAAAGGATAAAAAGGAGAAGGAGAAGAACAAAAACAAATGAAGGGAGAGAAGAAGAAAAGATGAAGAAGAAGTGATTAAGAAGAAGAAGCAGGAGAAACAGAAAAAGAAGAAAGAATTGTTGGGGTCGGTCTCCACTATGACGAAATCAACAAAGAAAAGGTTAGTAATGGAAATGAGTCTAGCCAAATCGAAGAGGTGATAAGCCAAACTGACAAGGTGAGCTGGCAAACCACCGAGCTGAACTGGCGAACCGCCAGGCAGAAACAACAAGTTGGATTGATAAAGACGGATTAAACCATTCATGTATAGGTGGACCAAACCAACAAGATATACCAAATCGATGATTCGAGATCAATATTTTTAAATAAAAATAATAGTGTGGTTAACAAAATTACAACTAGATATTCAAACCTGTAAAAAACCGACTACAACATAAGAACACAAGTTATATATAAAATCAGTAATATATTATATCTTTAAATATAAAAGTTGGGTTTGGAAAACAACAATAAGCGGAGACCGACTCCAACAATTCTTTCTTTTCTTTTTGTTTAAAAAGAAACAAATAATAGAAATGAAGAAGAAAGAATAGGAAGGGAGAAGGAGAAGAAGAAAAACTAAATACAATATTAAAAAACATAAATTTCATGTAAAACCAATAACATATTATCATATTTTACAATAACAACTTGTGTGTCTACTATATTGATTTAGTTGCACGTAACTTATATTATCTTATTTTCAAATTTATATTTTTGTATTTACAAAATTTAATTTTAATCCTCTTAACACATAAATAAATAATTTTAATTTAATATAACTATAGTTTTTTTGTAGGAGAGGGGTGGGGGAGACATATCGTAACTGAAAATTGAAACTAAAGTAGGTGAAACCGAATCTAAAAACTGGACACCTAGAGGAAGGGAAAAAGCAGAGTTAGCTAATCCATCAACAAGACAATTAGCTTTTCTGTTAGCAAGAAAAAAAGACAAATGAAAAATAGACTATTTATTCTCTCGAAATAAAACCATGATACATATGTATCAGGAAACAGATTATCTTATAACATAATATAATAAATTTTCTTATATTACATAATTTAAACATTTATAAAATTTACTTCAAGAATCATATACCTGCGCGGACGCGCATGTCCAACATCTAGTACATTTTAAATGATCAGTATTACAATGCAGATATTTGATTTAGTCCTTTGGTTTATATGAAACTGGTTTGTTCCATACAGGTTTAACCTATATATGCTTTGTATGCATCAATAAGTGCATATAACCCATATAAATAAATATGTTTGTAATTGCAACACGAGGCTCAAATATTCCAACGATGATCGAGATCCAAATCTAATTTGTTGGGCCTTGAAAGTCCACATTGCCTTTATTCTCTCTAGTAGGTCTTGCAGATAAACGGACTTCACATTTTCCCTCATGATCTTTTGTTGGGCCTTGAAAGTCCACATTGCCTTTATTTTCTCTATGGCTGCTTTACTTTCATTTGACCCAAGCTTTTTCGCCAACGACCGAAAGCTTTTTTCTCTCTTAATTATATCACCCATTTCAATTTTCGATACGTAAAATATTGGTAGTTTAAAAATATACCATACTATAGTCAATAATTTGGACATGAGAGTTATATATTAGTTAATTATACTTATATTGTAACCAAACACGTGAAAGAGACGTGCCTTAAAAAACTTTCATTACAGCCGATGAAAAAAACTATAAAAGTACCCAAAAAAAAGAATAGTGAAAAGAAATTTGACATTTAATTTGGATGGTATCTATCGGTGACGATTTTCGGGCTCAAAAACTTAAAAGGAGGAAAAAGACATGAGTCCAAAACGACAAGACGAACGCACATAAAACGACGAAAGACTTGTTCAGTCATCACTTACGTTGGGAAATACTACAAAAGGATTACGGCATCTTTTAGGCCCCACCGGAGAGGTACTTTTACCAGAAAATTACAGCTATGCCACTCCTTAATTTTGCCTACGCCTGAAAATTTGACATTTGCCATCACCAAAACCTAAATGCCACGCGCTTTTGTTTTCTAACGCAATTAACTTACTTACACACATTACAGAAGACGTATTTTATATTTTTCGATAAAACTAACCAAGTATTTGAAATTAGGGTTAGACAAATCATCCGTTAGATTTTGATTCGATCTGCTATTTGATATTTATAGCTTTACGAAATAAAGCAAATACTAAATTTTGATATCCGTTAAAAATAGAGCAAATCACAAATATTAAAATTTTAGAGTCAGATATCTAATATGCTATATATATGTGTATATATAAATAATTACATATAGAATGTATAGTTAATATAATTATATGTAAATTTTTGTGAATTTATATTTATTTTATTAGTGATTTTAATATAAAATTTTAATAAATTTAAAAAGAACAATTTAAAATTTAATATATGAGTTAATTTTTGACTTTTTAATTATTTTGATAAATAATTTTAAATATTTTATAAATATTATAATTATTTTATAATTAATTTAATATTTTTAAAACGGATCGGATATCCGATCAAAAATCTGGATTTTAACGAATATCCGAATACTGGATATTCGATTAGTAATAGAATAAATACAGATAAAAAATTATTGATCCAGATGAAGCAAAGTGGATCACGGATATCAATAAAATTCTGGATATCCACTCTGTGCTCATACTTATTTAAAATCTATTGTTATTGAAATTTATAACGAATTCCAAAAGCAACCAATTCGTTTGAATTTTTTTAAATTGGCATAAGGTAGTTGAACTTGATGAGGTACATTTTTCATTTGGAAAATTTGGAATCCAATTATATTTTACTAATTACGTCAAATTATTTTGTTTTATTTTCTCCTTTTTTATATCTGGCATTTATATACTAGAACATCTTTCACGATTTATTCATTGATTAGACATGTAATTTAACTTGTATAGTACTCTGCCAAGTGCCATGTGTTAAATGAATGTTGGTAACTGAAACAAGAATTCGAACTTCAATAGAACTAGTGGTACAAGTTAGTATAACATGAATTTTGTATTGATTTGAGAATTTTTTTTTGGTATAATGAAAACAATTATCGTAAGTGTTATATACATGTAATCAAATTTTAAAAATGATCGTTTCCTTTTCCATAAATATACAATTTAAATATTTTAAATATAAATTCATTTGTTAACTGCATACGCCAAAGAAAACTGTTTCATTTCCATTTAATGTTTGCGTTTCACTTGGCAAACATATATATACATATATATAATTATGTAAATGCAAGACGCAAAAATTACGTTGAAACAATATATAGGTGTCTGTATAATTGTATACAATACAATTTTTATAAGTTTTAATTGAATGCATGACATTAACCTTTCCAGCTTAATAATTCGGTTTGTTAGTTCAAGTAAAACGTAGATTGATGTCATGAATATTCAGATTTTTTTCCCCTGTTGTTGTTATTTATTTGTACATGACCGAGTTTTTTGATATAATAAGACGTCTCTCCAATGGAGTAAATGTCACGGCAATGATACGTTAAAGTTTTGATATGTGTAAGTAACTAATTAGTTAATTATCCAGATCTTATCCAAACAAGCGATCTATCCACACAAAACGCCTGAAAATATGTTGTGTGAACTCGATCCAAGACATTAATCAAATACTATTATTGTCTCGTTACATAATCTGCAAGTTAAATAAAAACATCTCATTACTCAGAAGGTAGTAACAATAGTATAACAATATAGCACCATAAGTCGTCTTTACTAGGAAACACGGATTCTTATTAATCAGTAGAATTGGACCAACCAGATCTGTGTTAATTTACACTTCCATAAAGTTATATAATATTGTTACGAATTATTGAATGCTGATAAAACAGCCAATTATCGGTTCATTAGAAAATGACTGGCATATATTATATATATTTTTTATTATTATCAGGCAATCAATATTTCATATTTTATGATTCGTTTAATTACCGTTCGACTCTTATATATCGTAAACATAATTGATTAGTCGATAAGAACATATGCCGACTAACATCGTATGATTAAAGACAACGCATCATGTCTCCATCTACAAATTATAATCCCAATCGATTCCACATGATTAACTAATAATTAAATTAACTCAATAACATTAGGTTGTGATTAGCCCTCGTTGACGAAATAATATGTTCTTCATTTTATTTTTCCAAACCGAGGGGAGAGAAGAATCCAAGGACTAAAAAAATGAAATAAGTTGACGAGAAGTAAGAAATAATAAAAAGAAATACCGAGTCAATTTTCATATTTGATGTCCGAAAATTTCAATACAATCTCAAATTAACAGCCTCTTTATTATAATCACTACTTGTCTAATTTTTTAGCCGCGACAATAAAAGAAGCGAAATAAATAAAACAAAAAACAAAAAAAAATTAAAGAGAAACTGGAAATGTGAATCCAGAAACTAAAAAATAATTCCGAAAAAACCACCCACCCTTGCAATTTCGATTCGATTCCTCGTATTTCTATTTGTACCTCCAATTTAAAAGATATTCAGTCTTCGATCCCTCGGATTTTAAAAATTGTATTTCGCACCCTACTCAGATCTCTCCCTTTCAACGTCCTCCCAGCACCTTCGTGAACCGAAAACGACGCCATCCTCCGACTCGCCAGCAATTCATGCGGTGGCACACGCCGTGTTCCTCCGCCGCATGCAGAAATTTCGTCTCCGTCGACTTCCTCCTCCAAAATCTGCCTCCGGCAACTCTCTTCCCCGAGAATCTTCGACCAGTCCGGCACGTTGACCGGGAGCGAAGACGCAGCTGTACCGGCAAATTTCTCTGAAAGCAAACCACCGCGACTTTTCTTGTTGACTCCGGTTCGACCGGAGTTGATTGTAAGGTCACCAAAACTGAAACCGGGAGCAGAATCTGAACCGGTATTGTAAAGATCCCACTCGTCGAGCTCGAAATCGGAAGCGGTAGTGACGTGTTGTTCACTGGAGAAGAAACGGTGGCTTGGCCGTGGATAGTAGCATTTGCTCGTCGCCATTTGAAACGAAGAAGAAGAAAATGAAGAAGAAGAAGAAACTGATTTGAACTCTTTTTTGTTTTTGGGTTTAATTAAAAATTTAGATTCTCTTTGGCTTTGAGTTTCCGCTCCTTTCTTTATATAGAAGGGGAAGGTCAATGGATAGACTCAACTTCGTCGTGTTAAATTTTCCTTCATGAAATTACCAATATGCCCTTAGAAATTTCGTAGAAGTTTTAAAACTTTTTGCGATTTATCCAAACGAAACGATGACTGTTAAAAAAGGTTTTGTTCTGCACGGAAACCCATAATTACAAGGGACGTATGAGTATTTATTTTATTTTAATGGTTTTGTTGTTTGTCCTTTTGCATTCATATTTTTTTATTTATAATAGTAATAGTTGTAAATATTTGAATCATGTGTTAACTAATACAATACTCAACAAACTTGTACTAAAATGGACTAGGTTAAAAAGTTTGACTACATCTAAGTCTAACACATTGAAGAAAAAATAATGAGTTTAAGAAATGATACTAGTAATTTTTTTCCCTCGGTTATTTGAAAATTGATCAAGAAGATAATATTGTCAACAAGGGCCCATCAACTCTATTCACCGAACCTAGTCACTAAGCCCAATCGCATACTCAAAACTTATCTTATTTGTGAATCACAAAAGATGCTAGGTGGAAGATTTAAATTTGATTAATGTTTAAAAATTATTAAAATAGTTGGTTATTTCGTAAGTTATCTGTTAAGAAGGAAATAAATAAATTCTTTTCGTAAATTTTCAAGACTTAGTGACTTGAAAATATAATATGAAGTTTGAAGATCTAATATGGAACACACGAGCAAGAAAATGCTTGGAGGGGATTGAGGAAACACGATGTGTACACGTGTGTACTTATGGAACATGGCGCGTAATCTTGATTTAGGAACACGTGTCAGAGAATCTCTAAAGTGAGAGGGTAAAACTGTAAATGTAGATAAAAATCCCAAGAGATACGACAAATTATTGTACGATGAGATGGGATGAGGGGTTCATGTTCACTTATCTCTTCCCTTAAGTAATTTCGAGATAAAAAGACAAAGTAAGATAAATTATAAAAAAGTGGTCCCAAAAATACATGTGGCGATTTGATACTCGTGATCCACGTGGAGAGATGAGCTTTCGTGTACGACTCGTGGCGTGAAGGCACGTGATTGCCTCCAGTTCATTGGTGGAGAGCGACGTCGTTTTTCAGGTTCTGCGAATTACAAAAGCCTTTCCTCCATTACCTTGATAATTTGCTAGACGACAAAATAGTTTCGTCGGGGAACGCAACATTAATATCTGAAAACGGTAGGGTCTGCGCATCTCTATAAAAGAAACGACAGAGGAAACGCATCTGCCAAATTTGCCCCAATTGGTTTTTGGACCATATAAGGGCCGAGTCAGTGTTATCATAATGGGCCTTTAATCTAAATAAAGAAGGACCTTATAATCTCTAATATGTTAGGGTAATTAGATTGGTACACTGATTAGGTTTCGAATGGTAACCGTGTTTTGCGGATTAAAAAGTAGATTTTAAAATATGGTATGGTTAAAATGTGGAATGTATATTTTACAAGATACATGTGAGTAATGTTAAAAATACGGTTCAAAGTAATTTATGATTGGTAATATTTATAAATGTGGTATAATTATAATAATTTTAAAAATAATTCATATAACCAAAATATTTATTTTTGTTAGATAAAGATGTATTAACTTCTATAAATAATTCTTACAATTTTTTCCTAAATTTTTAAAATATATATTTATTAAATTATATACAAAACTAAACTTAGTTATGAAAACCGCACCATATTGAAGTTTTACTCAAATGTAAAAAGCGTATCATTACTTTTGCTCATTGATTTTAGTAGGTGCAGTTTCTTTAGGTTTTTAATATTTAAATTTTAATGTGAACCATTTTATACAAAAAACTATGAATGGTGGCATATATGAAATACGACCACAGCCTAAATTTAAACAACGTTAGCACTGTTTACCTTATCACATGATTCTCTCAACAGTATAAAAATTGAATTCGAAAAATCAAACCAGTCTGAATCAAATAAAAAATACCAAATCGAGTTAGAACTGGTATAAATTTTTGAAGGTAGCCTTCATCTCTATATCTAAAAGTTTGATATCGAATCCAGACCAAACCGGAAACTATATAGATATTTGAAATATCTGAAATATAGTTATATATAAATATTAGTTATATTTAGATATAAAATAACCAACATTCTCAAAATCACAATTATAAATTAAATATATTAGTTATATGTAACCAATATAATCAAACTATCCAAATTATTTTAATTGTATATATCAAAATTAAATACTTTTTTACAAAAATTAATTAAATATATCAAATATTTTAAAATTTAATTTTTTTCTAAAAAATATTTAGATAAATTTCAGATAATTTGAGCATCCGAAACTGACTAGGATTCGACATGAACCGAATTGAACCCAACCTAAAAATTAAAATACCCGAATAAAGTTCATAACCTAAACCTAAAGTAACCAAAACCAGAAAAGTACCAATTAAAACCTGAATGGATACATGAATGCCTAGGGGTAATTCTCTACATTGTTCATCTTCTTTGCCCTTAAAAATATGAAATATTGACTCTCAACTGAAAATATATCCTAGCTTCAAGAATGGAATGAAAGACTAGCAATAATTAGGACCAAATCTCACTAAAACGGTAAAAATAAAAATATATATATTCTTGGTCTCTAATCACTATAATCTTTTAAATGTACATTCGAGGTTTAATGTGGCTTTTACAAAGTTTGTGAGGATGTGAATTGCTAATGTTGCTTGTGGGCGAACCTAGGTTATATATCATACAAGAAGGCTACATTATCACTATAAGAAAACGGCTGATTTGATGTAAGAATCCAGTAGATCTCGATCGTCAAAAAAAGAAAATTCTATTTTAATGGATTTCTACAGATGTTTTTCGATGGCTGTTATTCCAACGGGTTTATGACAGGTATTTTCAAACGAAATTCTGACAGAAATTATATTTTATATAAAAATATAGAATTATTTTATTTAAATTATAATTATTAAAATATAATTGTTTTAAAATGATATAACAGAAAATGTTTTTATTAAAATTATTATATTTATATCTTAAAATACTATAACAAAGATGAAAAACTTACCTTTTTTAGAATTGGCATAAGGTGATTTTGTGAAAGAAGAAAATATGAAAGTGAAAAGAAAATTTATGGTTTAAGAAGAGCAAAATCTGGTGTGAACATTTTAAAGAAAATTTTTTGATGGTCAAATCCGTCAGAATTTGATTTTGATCTTCCAAAATTTTTTGAAATTTCTTATTTTCATATATTTTTAAAAAATTAAATGTTAAAATATTTAGATCCCTCAAAACTCCGTCAAAAATTTCTGAGAGATTTCTAACGGATCTAAATATTTTACATATAATTTTAGACTCGTCGACAAACCGTCAGACATTTTTTATTGATTTTTAACAAATTTGAATACTTTACATATATTTTTAGACTCATTAAAAATTCGTCAGAAATTTTTGACGAATTTCTGATGAAACTAAATATTTATATATATATATATTTATACACATGAGCAATCTATACTATTAAAAGAGAATCACTAAATTCAAATATTCAAAAGCTACCATGGTATTTACTAAATGTGCCATTACATTTGCTAAACCAATTTATTAATTCATTAAGGATAATTTAGTCATATTATTAAACTGTCAACAAATACACTAAAATTAAGTAAATTATATTAGCTTATTAACATATAATACTAATAAATTATATTTGATACTAATAAAATTTAAATTAATTTAATTTGAAATTATTTCAAAATCTTTCATAATATATTAACATAATTACTACAAAAATATGGCGTGAATAATTAATATAATTATATATATTATATTATACATTAAATATATATTATATTATAATCAATTTCTTCCCTATACTATTAAAAAATCACTACTTTAAAATGTCTAAAAGCTACAATGATATTTATTAATCATTATTTTGTTACATATATATATATATATACACTATGAAAACATATTATGTAAATATTTTTTGTTCTAGTTTGTTAATGAGTTTTTTTTTGCGGAAATCATGGGTTTGCGGATTTGACACATATTTTTGTAGATTTTACAAGTTTTAGCGGGTTTAATAAATTTTAGCGAAAAATATAGTTTTACGAGAAAATGCTGGTTCGACAAGAAATGTCCTTAAGTAAATTTAGCAGGATCACATAATTTTAGAAATTTGGTCTTAAATTACGTTTTTGCAGATTTTACGAGGTTTACGGGAAAACACGGGTTTACGGTATGCAGATAACGCAATTTTGCGGATTTTATATGTTTAACAGGTTTTAGTGAGAAAATGCGGGTTTGTGGATTTGGAAACTCGATTTTGTAGATTTGGCAGAAACACATGAATTTAGAAATTTGGTCGTAAAACACGATTTTACGGATTTTACAATTTTACAGAAAAACACGAGTTTATGGATTTGGCGGGAAACGTGATTTTGTGAATTTTACGAGGTTTACATTTTTAGTGGGTTTTAGGTTTTGATGAAAAAACGTGGTTTTATGGATTTTATTGAAAATATAGGTTTGTGGGTTTGACAAGAAACACAATTTTGTAGGTTTGATAAAAACACATAATTTTAGAAATTGGGCCATAGAATATGGTTTTATGGTGTTGGGAGAAAACATAATTTTTTGTTTTATTAAAAGATGTGGGTTTACAGTTTTGGCACATAAATACGGTTTGATGAAAAATGCTATTTTTACAGTTTCTACAGGAATTTCCAGTTTTGGTACAACAACGTAATTTTAGTATTATGCGGAAAATACAGCTTTTTATTTTGATAAAAAAAAACTCTGGTTTTATGGTTAAAAAGTTGATTTTGTGGTTTAAAATTAAAAGATATTTTGGTCTTTTAATGTTTGAGATTCA